TATCAACTCACTTTTTCCAGTTTAATGAACTTAAAATTTTAAGGCAACCAGGTTACTTACTTTAAGTTAAACCATCAATATTTTTTTACAGTGTGGTAACTCTAGTAGAGCATTCATTTAGTTCGTTTGTTAAATAAGAGGCGATCTGAAATCTGTTATTTTTGAAATCAAAGTGCTCGTTGCCGCTCGGAGCGATCAGTTTCAGTGGATTCAGTGTTCTGTTGTGACGCGCACTGTCTTCAAACGGACGCGCGCTCAATCCGTTGCGGGGACTGAGAGACTCATTACGGTGAAATCACAAAACCCAATGCACAAAAAACATGTCCCTGCTTGAAATACAGCCACTAATAAACAATCGGTTTTGATTAGGAAAATAAACTATACTATTAGTAGGGATTAGAAGAACCCAGAACCTGTGAAACACATGGCAAAAGTTCTTCCTCTGGACCATCATAGTTCATGGGGATATGTATTTAATCACGTGAAAATTCTCACCACTAACAACATATATTAGATCTCATTAAACGACAAATTAAACACAATGTACTATTACTATGTAACACGTCACGCTCTCCGCGAGTGGTATTTACGACAGTAACGTTAAAAACAAGTACTCCAAAGTTACTCTAGGAGTCGCTGTTTGACAAAAACAGCATTCCTGCCTGGTGTCCCTTTAATAGTCACTCAAAAATATGTCTCATTATTATTGTCTCATATCCAGAGAAACTGAATGGAAACTGAATTTGATCTTTTGAAATAAAAGAGCTTTACATACTATGACAACATAGTTCAAGTTGAAATTTCCTTTCCAGTAGGACTGTGAAAGGATTAATCGTGATTAATCACATCCAAAAAAAAAAAAAAAAAAATGTGTTTACATAATATGTGTGTGTATAATTATTTTGTATATATAAATACACAAACATGCATGTAGGCCTATATAAGAAATATTTACACACACACACACACACACTATTCAGTGATCAGAAACCAGATGAGGTAGCAGAATATATGCTTTTATTCCATAACACCACATAACTAACATGTGTCTTTAAATGTTGTGCTGTTCTCCAGTGTGTTCAGCACCTGCCGCTCTGCAGATCCTTCTGAAGGATCCTGCAGTTAGAAGCAAGTCGAAGTTTATTTTAACAAGGTCCCTAGTCATTTCTAAAGCTTTACTAACATTTTAAGTGGACATCGGGGGGGGAAAACTGATGAAAAGAATGTATGATATGAACCCTTTAAGCTGAAAAATGTCATGAAGGTCTGTTGAATTATTCATTGCAAACACACAACATGCACAAACCTACAGAGTGCTTTAATTTTAGAAATGCGGCACTCGTTCATCAATAACTCAAATAGCAAACAGTTTATCTCCCCTCGTCCTCTGGAGTAATGCATCGTAACAGCTCCACTAGTTTCTTATGGCTGAGAAAGGGGAATAAAAATATATATGTTAATATTTCATAGCCACTTGATCCATGCGTGCCTGGAACGCCAACTGCTCTGCCACTCGACTGAACCCAAGTCCCACAGGAGAGAGAGAATTAAGAGAGAGAGAGAGGGGCCAGAATGCATCACTTCTACCCTGGACACTAAAACACTGTGAGATAGAACAGAAACTTCTGGCCAAGCCCCTGAGGACAGACACTTGCACAGCATCCAAAATTGAATGCTTCCCTACTGTATAGTGTGCGAAAAACAGTACGCCAAAAGAATAGTATGTTTAGTATGTTCAAATACAAAACAGTAGGTGAAAAGTACCCGGATGACTTACCACTTCTGTCAAGTTTCTGATTAGATGGACACTTTACTGTGAGGCCACGGAAGGGGATTTTTTGAATGGAAGTGAAGCAAAGCAAATGACGCTGGTAGATCACGTGACAGTAACATGGCGGATTCTGATCATGAGTTACTGTAGTCTTTCCCATCTAGTGTTGTTAATCTTGGTTTGTGAATAGGAGCGTTTTAATACACTTCCTGCACACTGCAAACGCCTGACCCCTGGACTGTGTAATCGCATTGTTTCTGAGCTTTGAAAGAACAGCCGTCGCTGATGCGTCCTCCTGATACATAAAAGGATCTGTCTCAGGTTAAGAAGCTTTGAGAATATCAGCCCATTTGTGCTCTTATGCGGACCGTCTGACAGTGTAAGCATTATTTAGATCAGATTAGTTGCATCTCACTGATCTCTCAGGTGAAAGATGATTTTTCTCCATCCCTCTGGTATTAAAAAGCCATGCGTTATGAAGCGTACTCCATTATGACTCTGCCACATTATGGGTGCCTCACTATTGCAAGGTTCTATTAAGTTTTAAATCAATATTTTACACAAAACCATATTTCCATTTTATGTCCAGCATTCATTTTTCTTCATTCACGGCAATTTTCTTCTTACAGATCCTTAGGGTGGTCATTATATATATATATATATATATATATATAGAGAGAGAGAGAGAGAGAGAGAGAGAGGTGGGCGTTTCATTTGTGATCTGGTTCCAGCTTGACAACAGCACTGGTTGTGACTCAGCAAAATAAAGGTACAGAAATAGCTGAGACACAACATAGATCATACAATTTCACACTGAATCCTATCGTTGCCTGTGCATGTACAGCAGGAAATACATTTTTACAATCACATGATTATAACAAGAAAAAAATGTTTTGTGCTACAGTAACACTGTATTGTTAATTAGACTGATTTATCTATCCGATAGATGCGCATGGATGGATTAAACAATACAAAAAGACTAGAAGACAATAGAAAGAACAAAATAGGAAATCAAGTGTAGTGTCAGTTCTGGCAGGTCACGTTAGTCAAGCTCCAAATTATCTGATCGACGTCAACCTATAGCAATACGACGCTTAGTATCACAGCATCCATATATAAGTTCCTTCAGTATTATCAGCAGCTATTGTGTTTCTCAGGAGCTAATTACCCTCCTCCATCCCCAGCTCTTCCTCTCGCCCAGTTAGGATTTGGTATTCTGATTCCTCTTTGGATGAGAATAAATTCTCAAATTATGTTGTACTTTAAAATCTTGAATTAATGATATCTGCAATTCATTCATGTTGGTTCTGTTCTGTTTACCCTAAGGAGGGTTATTGCTGCTCTCCCTGCTCTTAACCATGCTAGGCTGCACGGATGCGCAGGGAGTGCTTGCCCAGAATGGAACCATACCGCCAACACATATTGTATCATATTTGTCAATCGTATTTGACGACAGTGGTCCTGACAGAACAACAGAATTGAATGATAGAACAATAGACAGATAGATAGAACAATGACTGATAGAACATCATATAGAATGTTAGAATGATAGATAGATAGATAGATAGATAGATAGATAGATAGATAGATAGATAGATAGATAGATAGATAGATAGATAGATAGATAGATAGATAGATAGATAGATAGATAGATAGATAGATAGATAGATAGATAGATGTATTTTTAGATGTGGCTCTTCTTGAAATACAATATATACAGCTCTCCTGAAACGACCTCGAAAAAAGTAAAACATCAAAACCGCAGGCGTTGCTAATATCCTTCATTAGAAACAATAAATGGTTATTAGTCCAAATAGCTCTGAATAATAAATGGATATGAGGTCGCTGTCCTTAATTTCCAGTCCTAATTCAACTTCAGTATATGGGGATATGTGATAAGCTTGCAATTTGAATAAAAGTGTCCTCTTAAAAAAATAAATAAATAAATAAAAGTGGTTACCAAAACAGTTCGTTAATGAAGTATTTAATGAATATGGGGTCACTGTCCTTCATTTTAAAAGACATTATTGTATATCATCAAACCCTTAAATTAAAAAATTGCAGTGTGCTAACCAGTTTTTACCCAAACACCATAGTCATTAATACTACAATAAAACGACTACCACTGCCACTAAATGAATAAATAAATAAATAACACTCCTTCTTTGAATACAATATACTATGATTTTACAGTACCAACAATAACTGTAGCAATTATTTACTTTTTTTTTTATGTAGAAACTGTGGTTCCATTTTTGCAAAACTCAGTGTTGGAGTAATTCATAAATGTCCTGCTGGATTAAGTTTGAAAGTACTGATGAAGTTTACTTCTGTATTCCAGCACCTTAAATAAGTTTTAATAAAGCTAATGTTAGAAAACCCAAGGATGTCTGTGACATTTTGGCCAATTATATTCAAAGTCAAAAGTCTTTCTCTTTTAGCTCATATGCATTGACATTCAAGACTGAATAAATTTTGATACAGTAATTATCTAAATATTTCTCCTCACAACAAGATCATGTTCTCACAGTCTTGTGTTCACACCGAACGCGAAAGTGTCAAATACGCGCCTATCGCGTCTAGTTAGACGCTTGACTCTTTTGGTCGAGTTCAAATTTTCAACTCGCGCGGAAGACGTTCGCGGCAAACACGTAACCCATTCGCGATGCCCGGGGCTAATGATGCGTCTATTCGCGTCTTATGTAATATACTCGCGCAAATAATTTATTTTGCGTTCGGTGTGAACACACCATCCTCTGTTCTTTATTCCTCTTTCTAAATTGTCTGTTTGATGTGCAAGTCTGGCTGTCACATCATTTGTTTACTCTTTTGTCTGCAGTTACGTTAATTAAATTTGGTTTCGCAGATCGCCCACCGAATCCTCGGAGAGGTTGCTTACAAGGAGGCAGAGTGAGAGCTAGAGAGAGTTCTCAGTTCCTAATGAGCCCGAAGCTTCTTGCTGGGCTATGGGATGTATACAGGTAGGAAAAGCTTTTTAATGTCAGCTTCTAAAAAGTGCACATGCCTGGAGCGATCCCTCGTTCCTTTCCTCTGTTTCACCGCATCCCCCGGCATTTCCTGTAACCTCACATCTCTATCCTTCTGTTTTCCTCTCTGTTTGCTTTCAGTCATATTCAAAACCTCTTTCAGGTCGGGTTTGCCCCAGAGGAAGGGGCGGAGCTGAGCATAAAACAAAGATGTCCGTCAGCATTAACAGTGATTTGCTCACCTCTGCCAGTGCTGTAGTGCTGGAGTTTGTCACTGTACACAGCCTCCTTATTGTAAGCTCGTTTCCTATAGGAGAAAAAGGGGAAAGAATATACAATTAAAACATATAGTTAATAAATTAATCTGGATTTGCTCGACTGGCTGAAACAAGTGTCTGAGTCTTATGGGGTTAGAGTTAGCCTTATAAGGGATTTCACGCCAGAAGAACCTTTTCATGGTTTCTGGAGCTATTGGTGAAAGTACCCTGATTTTGTCATGTTCGCACCACAGGAACAAGGAACAATATTAGTTTTAGGAACTCCATTTGGATGAACTAATTTAGCTTCTACTTCAGAGTAGGGTCTAAACCAGCACTATAGGAACTATCCGTGGCTTTAGTGTACGTTGGTTGGCCGAGCACAAGCGTAACACCAGCACCGCCATTTCTTTTTAAGTTGTGTAAACACAGATTGTAACATATACATTTACTCCAGAAACTAACTCCACGAACATGGAAAACGGTGATAGGTGGGCCTCCTAACCTTTACGCTAAGGAGAAAATCCAACGCAACTTTGATGGGACCAAGCGAAACATGATTATATATTTCTGCTCAGCAAGCAACACTTGACATCAACCACATGGCATACGCTAATAACTTTTCATATACTGTCTACTTTGTATGTATAACAGTTCTATCTAATAACATATTAGACAGGATTGTTAGACAGATTGTAAATGAATGTACATGGAGGATGCCAGCACATTCTCAGCGCTGTCAAAATAAAGGTCAGCCACGCCATCAAAATAAAAGTCACAACAATAAGTGTGGCTTCCGTCACTTCAGAGCTTCTACTGGCGGTGCGAATGCAACCAGGAAAATTTTCCCAAGGGAACCATTAGTTCTCGGGGAACCACCCTGGTGGCTAGTTCCTAGAAATAAGTTCCTAGAATAATCCGGTGCGAAAGCCCCTATTGTGTCACATTATAAGCGTCTAACATTTATTTGCTGTTTTAAGTGGGGCAGAGGTATTTTTTAGGTCACAGACATTCTTTGAGAATAGTTGTTTTGGTGGTCTGGTGTTGTCAAAGATACAACGTACATTCAGGCCAAATGGCATTTTATTCTGGCAAAGATCCACCAACTCAAGTCAGTAAGAGTCCGTTTGATTGACATGCCAAGTGACCAATCGCAGTTGGCTTTGCCTTTGTTTGTCATTTAGGGTTCCATATTCAATTTTAGTACCACAATAATGGTTAGGCACAGAGAGCCCTTTCAAAAGCTTTATGATGTAAATTTCTGTTTGACCAAAAGTAAGCTTGAAGTCAAAACGTTTTGTCAGATTCGTTTGGATATAGTTGCGTCTTGTGGTTTGCAGAGGCTTTTTATTGTACAATTCCTTTTATTTATGGATTAAAAGCATGAATTGCTTACTATTTACAGGAATTGCATCACCTCACTCATCATTAACGTTCCCCTACAGCAAAGAACCAACTTATATAAAGACCAATTTATCAGCATGAGGTGGAGAGCTAGTGCCAGCCCTGAGACTGACTCTAACCAATGGGATTTGAAACATGGAATGACACTAACAGATCACAGGTCCAGAGCCGAGAGTAAATATATATATCGTGGCCATGATTGAACAATTCGTTCCCACAAATTAGGAATTCGTTCCCTCGTTTTAGTAAATTGTGCCCATGATTAACTAATTTGTTCACTCGTTTTAGTTAAATTGTGTCTACAAATTAAGAATTAGTTCCCACGTTCACTCGTTATAGTAAATCGTGGCCACTAATTCATTCTTTAGATCTGATTTAACATAATGAACCTGGGCACAAAATCAATGGAACATTTACCGTGTTATTAATTATATTACAAGCAAATGATACAGTATATGACTCGTTTCGTATCATTTTTGTATATGTATTTTTTTCATACATTTTAAGTAAAAGATGAAACGGGAACACATTTAGCTAGCCTGAACTCGCTCGTGTTTTTCTTTCCTTGCGTGCACATGCAGCAGCCACATGTCTGGCTCCATAATGGCAAACTCACCTGCTACAGACTATAGATATGGCCACCAGAGACACGATGAAGACCACTCCAGCCGCGGCTGAGCCCGCAATCAGCGGCAACTGTTCCCTCAGCTCTGATTTATAGTCGTCTAGACAGAGAGAGACAGGATGCATTAGGCTACAGAAATAACTGAAATGGCCACTGCCTATAGAGATGAAACAGGGGATGAAAGAACGTAAACAAAACATTTCAAGAGAACCTATTCAGGGAAGCATTTCATGGACTGCATGAATAGGAGAATGAAAGAGAGAGAGGGGGAGGCGGCACAAATTCATATGGAAAAAGGGAAGAATAGAAGAATGAAGAATCATGAGGAGGTGTGAGCTTTGAAAGAAATAGAGGAGAAGGGAGAGAGGGATAATAGAGTGATGCAAAACTAAGTGCTGAAACACGGCGGTCAGGTAATACTAATGCCGATTGCTGACGGATGTCAACTGTGAATGCGTGATGGAAAATGAGATGGAATGAATAGAGGGAAGGAAAAACACTTAAGGTACACAGCTGAATGACAATGATCAGTGAAGTGTGTGTGGCCCATCAGCACAGCAAATCCCACCGTCACAGTCTAAAAACGTCAAAGAAGAGGATGGGATGTCCTTTCCCGATGTTCAAATACCCACAACCTGCTCGCCCATGAAACATCTGTGTGGTGAGGAGGAGCTTCTTTGATACGGTAGCTTGCTAGATTTTCCGTATTGCAGTCATGCTAACTAATAGTTAGCTACACTACAAACAAACTAAATGTGGCTAGCTACATGAAGCTATGTAAACATAAAAAGATACAGAGAGAAAGAGAATATCAGAGAGAATAAGAAAGTAAGCTGGGGGGAAGAAACAAGAGGAAGCATGCTGAGAGAGACTGATATACATCATGATTTGTCGTTATGTGTGCAGCAGATCTAATTTTGTGAAAAAGCTGCTAGCTACATGAAAACTAAAAAAAAAACACAGTGGTTACTTATGAATTTCATTGCATTGTACATAAACTTGCTATATACGAGTTGCATTTTGCACATTACCGTTCAAAAGTTAGGGGATACATTTCAAACAACTGATTTTTAAATTGTTGATAAGAAGAACTGTTTCTTGAGCAGCAAATCAGCATATTAAAATGATTTCTGAAGGATCATGTGACGACTGGAGTAATGATGCTGAAAATTCAGCTTTGCCAATCAAATCGGTCCCACTTTATATTAAGTGGCTTTAAGAACCATGTACTTACATTGAAATGAATAATTTGATACAATGGAGACTTATTGTGTACATACATGTTTTTACATTGTAGCTACTTATATTTTAAAAATACCAGCATTTTTGTATTATTTATGTAATTACATCTGTAATTACACAGCTGACCCATCCCTTATGCTCAAACCCATCCTTAAACCTACCCATACCACCAGACCTGTCCCTAACCTTACCCGTATCACACCTCGATAGCAGCAAAAGTGATTTACAATACAACATAAGGACAATAAGTACATTGTACTTATTTTTCAATGTAATAGTACTTGAAGCCACTTAATATAAAGTGGGACCTAAAATATGAAGAGTTCAGATGCAAAAGCCTCTAAATGCCATTTGAAATTTTCTTCTTTAATGATGATTTTTATCAAACTTGTCTATTTAAGTTCAGTAATTTCACTTAAATAACAATTAATAGGTAATTATCATTGCCATTTAAGTGAAATCACTGAACTTAAATATACAAGCTTGATAAAAATGATCATTCTAGAAGAAAATTTCAAATGGCACTTAGAGGCTTTTGCATCTGAACTCTTCATATATTAAAACGAAAAATGGTATATTTTAAATTGGAACTATATCCCTGTTTACACTTGGTATTAAAGGATTAGTTCACTTTTGAAAAAACGTTTGCTGATAATTTACTCACCCCCATGTCATCCAAGATGTCCATGTCTTTCTTTCCTCAGTCGAAAAGAAATTTAGGTTTTTGATGAAAACATTCCAGGATTTTTCTCCATGTAATGGACTTCAATGGGAACCGGATGGTTCAAGTATCAAAAGACGGTTAATAGCTGTTTCAGATGCGGCTTCAAATGTCTTTAAACGACACCAGATGATGAATAAGGGTCTTATCATGCGAAACGATCGGTTATTTCAAAACTTATTCCAAAAATGTAACTTTTATAAGGACAAATGCTAGCCTTGCTCTATTCTCTGAGGCGCGTTTGCAACGTCACGTAATACGTAATTATGTTCAAAAGGTCACAGGCGACGTAGCCGGAAGTACAGAATCAAAATCGTCCGCCATCGTTGTTTTTCCTTTTAATTCCTTTTTTTGTAAACGGTGTTTGAGTTAGTTTGCACGTTCAACCTATGCGTTCAACTTGTAAACACTGACTCTGTACTTTCGGCTACGTCGCCCGTGACCTTTTGAACGTAATTACGTAATACGTGACGTTGCAAACGCGCCTCACAGAATGGAGAAAGGCTAGCATTTGTACTTATACAAGTTACATTTTTGGAATAAGTTTTGAAATAACCGATCGTTTCGCATGATAAGACCCTTATTCATCGTCTGATATCGTTTAAAGACATTTGAAGCTGCATCTGAAACAGTTATTAACTGTCTTTTGATACTTGAACCGTCCGGTTCCCATTGAAGTCCATTATATGGAGAAAAATCCTGGAATGTTTTCATCAAAAACCTAAATTTCTTTTCGACTGAGGAAAGAAAGACATGGACATCTTGGATGACATGGGGGTGAGTAAATTATCAGAAAAAGTTTTTTCAAAAGTGAACTAATCCTTTAAGATGCCTTTTGGTTGAGACAATCACAAGTGGATGACGCTAAATGCAGTTGTAAATGGGGTTTAAAATATTTTGAGGTTGTCTACTTTTGACCACTTCCAGAGGTAGTCATTTGACCAGATTGCTTTAATAGTGTAAACGCTCATGGACCGTCTACCGCCTACTGACCTAATGTATAAACATTACGGGGAACGTAAGCTTATTTTGTCCACTAGATTGAAAGATTTGAAACAAACTCATTCATTGACCTGCCCATAGACCCTCCCTTCGAAGAAATCAGGACAGAAGTGTTTGAAACAGGACAAAAGAGACAAATTAAAACACCAGGTGTAAACTGGAATGCGTCTCCCTCGTCTACCTGTGAACCAATCGCCCATTCGCATCTTAAAACTAGGTGTAAACAGGGAATATATTTATCAATATTACTGTTTTTAGTGTATTTCTGATCAAATAATTGCAGCCTTGGTGAACAAAGACTTCTTTCAAAAATTTTTAAACAATCCTGTGTATTGAAACTTTGCAAATGTGTGACTGTGTAACTATGTGTGTCATAGCATACTAGATTTTAACAATCGCACTGATGGTCGTTCTTAGCATGCTGGCTAAATCCATAATGGCCAACAGGAAGTAGAGCAGCCTCTGTGAGCACTGGGCTTAAACACACCTCATTTAACAGAATAATTTCTCCGCCATTACACCTGGCTGTCAAAACGAGAGAGCGAGAGACTCCGGGGAAAGCATGTGTTGTGATTCTAGAGAAGGTGTGTGTGCGTGAGGTGGACTTCTCTCCCCTGTGATTGGTGCTAATTGTCGTAACGAATGTCGTGCCATGGCAGAATGCCAGTGGATGTACCCGTTAGCTGGCGAGGAGCGAACGCGGGCACTAATTACTTTAGTGAGTATGACGGCACGGAGACGCCTGCCCACACCCAGAGGAAGTTTTGTCTTCATCAATGTGACATATCTGTATATTGAGTTAATTTGAATAATAAAGTGTGTAAATACTAATTGTCTTCACTGTGTGATAAACAGTGTGTATATGTGAGTCTGTCTGTTTTTTGACTACATGTCTGTTTATGTATACTTGCATGCTTATGCATGTGTATTGCATGCTGGTGTGATTTGCATTTTTTTGTGTTCCAGTTTCAGATGTTTGAAACTGGGGTGTGCCAAATACACAAAACCAACACTTGCATGCAGCAAATGTCACATAAACACACAAACTATTCAACCATTCAAATCAGAATACACACACATGCAACAAACACAATTAAGACATGCAAATACACAAACACATGCACAACATGCACAGATTGCACACAACAACTGAAACTGATACACAAATCAAACATAAAATCAAACATAAATCACACATGCAACATGCAAAACATAAACATACAAATCAACAATTAAAACCAGATATACAAATCATGCACACATGCACACAAAAGTTTGTTGTATCCATATGGGTGTATGTGATTGATTGATTGATTGATTGATTGATTGATTGATTGATTGATTATGTTCATTGTGTGATTGTTGCATGTGTGTTGTGTGTATCTGCATATCCTGTAGCTCAAACAGTAGAATATGGGACTGCTGTTGCAATGCCAATGTCATGGGTTTAATACATTGAATGCAATGTATGTGAGTTTGGGAAAAAAGTGTCTTTAAAATGCATGATTGCAGGTGTAAAGCCCAAATGCATAAATTATAGTCAAGTAAGAGTATCACATTGTCTAACAACAACACATTAGACCTGTCTTTTTGTGTGTGCCCCAGATTGCCAGAGCAGTTCAGTTATATTTACACCAAAGAGACAGCAAAGACAAGGAGGGTGTAAAAGATGAAGCCTAAAAAATGGATGTGCAATTGAGCTGGTCAAGTAAATCGTGTGTGTGTGTGTGTGTGTGTGGCTATAGGAACTAGCCAGCTGCCTGGCGGATGTCTTTCTGTCCTGTAGAGTCCAGTCCCCCTTGGCATCCACTGTGTGTGTGTTTTTCCCTGGCACAGTCATCAGGCAGGATATGCTAAACTACAGATACAACGCCATTAATCAAACCCGAGAGAGAGAGATGGGGTGGGGGTACTTTATGATTCTTGTTGTTCATTTTAACATTTGATGGCCTAAATTTCCAAAAAAAAAAAAAAAAAAAAAAACATCAACAAAACAGAAAAAGAGTGGACTTGAAAAAAAATGCATCCCTTAATGAAACCAATTATTTCCTTTGTGTGATGAACACATCCACTCACTTCGCTGAGAGAGCGAGAGAGTGAAAAAAAACAGAGAAAGAGAGTGAAGACGGTGCTAGAAAGAATGGGATGATCAAATAAGACAACAAAGCATGATAGATAGATAGATAGATAGATAGATAGATAGATAGATAGATAGATAGATAGATAGATAGATAGATAGATAGATAGATAGATAGATGATAGATAGATAGATAGATAGATAGATAGATAGATAGATAGATAGATAGATAGATAGATAGATAGATAGATAGATAGATAGATAGATAGATAGATAGATAGATAGATAGATATTGGGTGGGTGGATGGATGGATGGATGGATGGATGGAAAGATGGATAGATGGATAGATGGATAGATGTCACATCATGATGTCACATGTCTTTACGGGATCTTTACGGGATGTGAGTGAACGCACGCACAGATTCCAGAAAATCACTGGCAGGCAGCATGAATGAACCAAAATCAAATGAACCCAGGACAAATCCCAGGACACATTATCAGTGTATTTTCCGGAATCTATGTGTGAAAGGGGCTAGTAGAATAGTGGAGAGTTTCTTTCTCAACTCTAACTCTAAAAAAAAAAAAAAAGAATCTGCTCAAGGACTAAAATCACCCAGATCCAAAGAGCGCCTCACACACACACACACACACACACACACACACACACACAAGCACACACACACAGGCGTGGGGGTTCGTACCATCTGTGAGGCTTTGGAAGCACATTTTGCTGCTGTATTTGCCGAAACCAGCAACAGTCCTGGCTCGAACCTGCATGACATACATGGTGCCCGGCCGTAGTCCATCCACACGAGCCGTATTCGTCTGACTCCTCACCTGTGTGGAGTTCACCTCAGACAGCTCCTGAGAGAAAACAGAGAGAGATGTATGCGTTTTACAAACAATTACAGATTTCACACATTTGTTTCTCCCAGATAGCAATGAGACCAAATGGAGAACGTTGCTTCGTCCAGATGTTTCCCTTTAGAAAAAAAATACCCTAAAAATTGCATATTTGTCTCTTTTAAAATTATAGAAGAGATCTAAACAATGTCACAAACAGTTCTCAGATTTTTCAAGATACCAAGTTCTGCGATAACAGTCTGAGATCTCAATATAAGCTCAAATTATTATCATCAAAATCCAAACGACCTTTTATCTACATTATTTAAACTGTATAGCTCTGTACACGTACTCAGTTCTCCAAAATGATTATAGGAGAAACATCTGAAATGACATTGATGCCTAAAAGAAACGAAAACTGAGCTCTCTATTTATGCTTGTGAGCTATAAAAAAGGAACCTCTGGCTCTAAGCAATAACACATTCCTTTTTGAAGGGGAGTTTAATAAAATGAGGCTCTTTGAACCGCCGGAGTCGAGCACAGATTCCATCAAAAAAGGACATTTAGGAGCAGACGAGTCAGTAATGTGTGTGAGTGAAAAGTGATGAGATTTCACCTTCTAAAATCCATTAATACCTCACCAAGAGAAAGTGTGTGTAAGTATGTAGAGAGAGAAAGGGGTAGACTATATTTGGCCAATTAATTCATCCTGTTATCATAACTGTCTTTATTACATTAGAGCAGTGGTTCCCAACCTTTTTTCAAGGAGTCCCCTATTTTAACATTCAAGAGGTATCATACTAGTAACAGTTTCATCCCTACTTGTAACCCAGAGTGAAAACCCCCGGTAAATCTTTAGCGACCCCTAGTGGGGGTCAGGACTATAAATATATACAGTATATATATATATATATATATATATATATACACACACATACACACACACACGGGCCGAGATACGCAAGCCATCCACCATATTGGAACAGTCAACGCCAAAATTGCAAGAGTAAATTGTCTGCAACCAAATTTAGACACATGTATGATTATCAATATCTGCAATAGACTTCAGCATATGATTTTGCTAAACTAACACAGTACAACACGGCAAATGAATTAGCTAACACGCCATTAAAAAGTTACCATAGTATAAAAACCTACAATATTGAGTTCATACGTATTAAAACACAAGCCAAAAAATTCTCACCTGTGAAATGTTATCACATTTCTTCAGGAATTTAAATCTCGCTGGTTTCACAACCAGAAGTGGCTGGTTGTCCTTGACAGTGACAGTATATGTCTGTCATATACATATCTATGGTCCCGGCCCCCAGCATAATGACTGCTACGTTAAACTCTGCGATTTGGGCAATCTCATAAGATCAATTCAATTCACACTGTAGGACATGGATCTAATAAACTTGGGTATGCCATGTATGTAGACTGTAAGATGATGACACCTATTGAATGGTAGGCTGCCTACAACGCAAGTTAAATACACTCACTTAAAGGATCACAGTATTATGAACACCATTCTAATACTATGTTTGACGCCTTTTCACCTTCAGAATTCTAAGTGGAATTGATTCAACAAGATGCTGAAAGCATTCTTTAGAAATGTTGGCCCATATTGATAGGATAGAATCTTGCAGTTGATGGAGATTTGTGGGATGTACATCCAGGGCACGAAGCTCCCGTTCCACCACATCCCAAAGATGCTCTATTGGGTTGAGATCTGGTGACTGTGGGGGCCATTTTAGTACAGAGAGCTCATTGTCATTTTCAAGAAACCAATTTGAAATGATTCAAACTTGCATGGTGCATTATCCTGCTGAAAGTAGCCATCAGAGAATGGGTACAGTACATGGTTACCATAAAGGGATGGACATGGTCAGAAACAATGCTCAGGTAGGCTGTGGCATTTAAACGATGCCCAATTGGCACTAAGGGGCCTAAAGTGTGCCAAGAAAACATTCCCCGCACCATTACACCACCACCACCAGCAGTCTGCACAGCGGTAACAAGGCATGATCTCATTCTGTTTACGCCAAATTCTGACTCTACCATCTGAATGTCTCAACAGAAATCGAGACTCATCAGACCAGGCAACATTTTTCCAGTCTTCAACTGTCCAATTTGGGTGAGCTCTTGCAAATTGTAGCCACTTTTTCCTATTTGTAGTGGAGATGAGTGGTACCCGATGGGGCCTTCTGCTGTTGTAGCCCATCGACCTCAAGGTTGTGTGTGCTGTGGCTTCATTTTCGCCCACAGGACTGCCGATCATGGAAAAAGCTAAATAAAAGAAAGAAAACTCGCAGCACTACTTTTCACAGGATATAGAAGCTCATTCACCTGTGAGTTAATGTCTACTGATGCGGTTTCATTGGATTTTTGTTTGCACTCATCAGTCAGCTCAAATAAAAATGTGCCATGATAAAAGACACTTAACAGGTAAGAATAAACCAGAATGAAATCTTGAGTGTGAAAATTAAATTAGGCTGGTTCATTTCAACTATAGACGGTT